TTTACAGCCTCCTAGGAGATGTGCTCCATATCATTTTTGAAAACCCAGTATATTGGGATAGAATATAAAAAGGCATATTCAGCAAAGGTGAAATGAAAACAAATAAATATTTAAATAAGGTCAGGAAGGAGGCAGAGAAAAGTTCATATTGGCTTGTAAATACTCTAAGCTGAAGGGAAACCACGAAGCATTGGGCAGTGGGTGAGGGAGGGGGGTCAAAGCCCAGGGGTGCAGGTCACTAGTGTCCCTTTCCCCTAGGAGAGAAGGTTATACAAGGAAACCACCAGGGGTGACCCCACTTGCTGTCTGGAGCTCCCAGGCCCGAGTTGGAGGGGAGGGCAGAGGCGGGAGGGGGGCAGAGTTGACTGAAGCACTGATCAGGGTGAGATCTGGCCCAGCAGAAGAATGACAGGAGGGGTTCCGCTGGATGCTCCCACAGGTCCCTTCAGCACCGACATTCTGCTGTGATGTGAAGGAGCTGAGGTGGGGAGGACTGGAAAGAAAAAACTAAATTCAAAGAGACAGGTGCCATGCGGAGCTGAGGTAGGAGACCAAGTGTTCAGTGTTTGGGGGGAAGGGGGCTGGAGTAGGCATACAAGGTCTAGACCCCGTGCCACTGTCAGAAAGAAAGAAAATGAATGTGGCTTAATTCTCATGACAGGATGACAGCAATGACATTATGAGGAAAGAATGAGAAAAGTGCAAAGTTTACTTGTGAAAAATGGAAATGTCTCCACATGAAATTCTCCCTGAAGAGCTCCCCAGGACAGGATGGTGTCCCGTACCTGAGACTGCAACCTCCCAGATGCAAGAACTCTTCCCCTAACAGCCCCTCCTTCTTTAAGAGGTCCCTCAGAGGCTGGGGAAGGCTCAGCCCACAGCTGGTGGGTGACAGGGCCTGTGTCTGTCCTTCCCACAGCCCCCACCACCATCAGACCACAGACTCCCTGAGAGCACCACCCACAGCAGCAGTGTCCAAATCCTTAGCACACAGTAGGGGCCTGGCAGGGAGGCACTCAGTATGTGCCTGTTGAAAGGGGGATACCCTCTCCCGTATCACACAAAGGACCAGAGTGGCTTTGTGCGTCACAGCATCACCAACACACAGGAAATGTGCAAAAAGATGTGAGGAGTCCACTTACTACACCTCAGGGTGAGCCTTGCAGGAGACCCCTGGAGACCCTCATGAGGGGGGAGATTAGGGCAGGGGCTGGCTTGCCCCTGGCCCAGGACAAGACCCCAGAATGGAAGTCAGACATAAAACGAGGCAGTTGGAGACACTGTAGATCACCTACACCCACAGATAATCACAAATACTCATTTTAGCCACCAGTTTCCACCTCTTCCTATTGCAATTTTTTTTTTTATCAGAACTGAGAAAGGTAGGCAAGATTAAAAATGCTTAGTTTTCCTGCTTCCCCACATCCTCAGGGGAATGAGCCAAGTTACAATGAGATATTCAGTGCCAAAGAACAGAGAGGAGAAGCAACACTAGACTTCTAGATAATCTATATCATGGCTGATACACTGCAATAGAATAGCCAAGAAATAATATTACCAATGCATGTAAAATTCAATGCCACAAGGAAAAAAATCACAATGTAACCAGTACTTCAAGAACCCACCGGCTTTGTGTCTCTCTACACCCCTTAAGGCAAGGGGCCTGACCTCTGGGGTGACTAGTGACAGAGAAGCACTGATATATTAGCCAAAATGCAGTGTGGTCAATGCTCCTTGTCGCCAGAGGTGCCAATTCTGGGGTCAGTCCAGTCCCAAGAACCGTGCAGCAGGAAATAGGTGAGCACATCCACACACAGGCAAAGCAAGACAAGAGAGGACCCCACAAATCTAATAAGACACCAGCACTTGTCCAGAGCAAAGGCTGTTCAAATGTGAGCTTACAAGGGTAATTGCCACCACACTACACAGAATGCAATAACTGTGTTGTCGGTAAAAGAATTTGTCAGATGTGTCACACTGAAATTGAATAGCTGTAACTGTGGCAGGCTGCTGAAAAATGGCTGGTTCCCAAAACATCTGGTCCCCTAAGTGTCTATCAAAATCCCGTTCTTAAATTAAAACCACAACAACAATTAATAAGCACGCGGTTTCCAGTTTGTTAAAGTTCACGGAGGGAATTTTCAAAGTGTTGGTAGGTCAGCTAGAGAAGCTGGTGGACTCTGTTCTCAGACCTCACCTGTGCACGTGGGTCCATAGGAGGAGCTGGACTTCTAATTCAGGGAGGCCTGGGTCCAAACTCCGTCTCTCCTGCTTACCAGCCCCACATTCCTGGGAAAGTGAGTTAACTTCTCTGAGCTTCGGTCCTTATAAGATTGAGATGACAGTCGCTCAGGTACAGAACTCCCGTGAGCAGTAGAGAGTGTGTGTAGAACACTTAGCGCCGTGACTAACCAATACCTGTTCAGGAAATGGTTCCCCTTAAGTAGACTTGCCTACCTGAACACCAGACTTGGCTGCACAGGCGACTACCTGCGTATTACACTTTATTTCAAGAATTGGAGACATCACCCAGCTCTGAGAAGGTGGGAGAGAAAAGAGGTGATAATAATTGTTCGAGGTTTTCCTTGGAGACCATCCCCAGGAAATTATGCTCTCCGTAGAAGCATGGTTTGGGGAAAACAAACTGTTTATCTGTATTATATGCCACCAGAACTATTTTCTTTTTTCTTTTCTGCCAGGTAAAAAATTGCAAGGAAGTCTCCTCAGATTTGAAAACCCTTGGGGAGCCCGTGAAATGGGGCCCATTTTCTAACTGACTACTCTTCTGTAAATTTCTGTAATGGATATAATGAGGTATTTCTACTTACAAAGTGTCTCATCTCCCCTCTAAAAGACAGAAACTGTGACCTGAATACGCTATGTCTGGTTGTTACCCAGTGCCCCCAAATTCACAAAACTCCTGCTGTCCCTGCCTAGGAAACTGGTGCTTCCAAGGCCAAAATAGTTCCAGAAGAGCAAAGGTTTTAAATCATTTTACACGACACAAGAAAGCACCTCAAGTCCTAATTAAGCGAAAGCAATTAGCTACCCACAGACACTTAATGCTGTCTCCCATGGTCAAGCAATCATCTCTATTAAAACCCATTTTAAAGTAAGAAGCAAACCCAAAAGCTCCATCGGTAAACACTTCCCATGAATCAATGACCCCTTAGACACATTCAGTAAACACTCAGAGGTGAACTCTGTGCCTTGGCTGAGGACTTTTGTGAAAGGACTGCATCAGGCACAATAAAGTGGTTGCAAAAAAGGGGGCTGCAGCAAATGTGACAATTTGGGGTGAAATCCTCTTGCAGAAGGGGGCACTGAATCTCTGGTGGGCCAGACAGAGCAATACAGACTGAAGCCTCAGGTTTCCCCGGTCTTAGAGTTCCCTGGTCGGTATGACAAGTAATGTGTCAACTCCACCCTGAGGACTACATCCAGCCAAAGGGCTTCTGCCTGCTGGAACCAGAGTCCAGCTTCCTCACGTGAGACCAGACTACCATCCAAACTGATGCTTCATGGGAGTTCTGTCCTCTTCCATGTCATAATCTGTCCCTGATGTGCACCTGGTCCACTTGGCAGGTTCACCATGAGTCCAGTCCACTCAAGTCCATGTGCTTTCCCAGCCCCATTAGGTCTACTCCTCCCCTGTGAGTCCCATTAGTGACGGTAGCCCGTTGTTTCCAGCCGAAAGCTGTTTCCAGAATTGGCAATAGCAACAGCTACGTAATGGTCAGTGGGTAAGTTGATGAGAAGTCAGTACCTTTCTCAAGAACTAGGTTTGTTTTTGCTTTTATGCCCAGTCAAGTTAATCCAATAACCCATTACCTCTCAATTGATCAAGAGCCTTTTTTTCACATTTTGTTCTGTTTTGGGGTTTTTGTTGCTTGTTTGGACTTGGGACATTTCTTAACCATCAAGCAAACATCAACAGTATTGATCTAGATTAGCACTGTACAATAGAAATAAGATTCAACATTTTCCTNTAACCATCAAGCAAACATCAACAGTATTGATCTAGATTAGCACTGTACAACAGAAATAAGATTCAACATATTCCAGGAGCCACATTAAAAAAGCAAAAGGCCCGGCCAGGCATGGCTCAGTCGCTGAGCATCGACCTACAATCCAGGAGATCGCGGTTCAATTCCCGGTCAGGGCACATGCCCGGGTTGTGGGCTCCATAATCCCCAGCAGGGGGCGTGCAGGAGGCAGCCGATCAATGATTCTCATCATTGATGTTTCTATCTCTCTCTCCCTCTCCCTTCCTTTCTCTCTCTGAAATCAATGAAGATTTTTTTAAAAAAAAACNTTCTCATCATTGATGTTTCTATCTCTCTCTCCCTCTCCCTTCTTTTCTCTCTCTGAAATCAATGAAGATTTTTTTAAAAAAAAACAACAGCAAAAGGAAATATAAAATTGCAATAGAACTTTTAACCCACTACATCAAAGATATTATCATTTTCATGTAGAATCAATATGCAAGGTAATTAATAAGACAGTTCACATTCTCTCTTCCTATTTCTCCTTTCTGGTCTCACATTGAACTGTGCAGACCTAGAGCGATGTTGCCATTGACATGGAAAGGGTTCCACGATTCACTGTTCTATGAACAAGCAGTTTACCAAATTGTATGTGTAGCATACAAGTCATTTTAACTTTATAAAAATCTATCTCTATGAGTTCAGATATAGAAAATATTCTGTAAGGGAGAGACCAAAAGGTAATGATAGTTATCTCTCAGAGGCAGATGGATGTCCTTTATTTTCTACTCTGTTCTTTTTTGATATTTTCTGAATTTCTTTACAGTAAACAGGTACTTTTTTCATTATTGTAAAACTATAAAACTAGCCTTTTTAAAAAAAAAATCTCTCCCTCACTTTAAGTTATTACACCCTGATCCTGCTGGCACCATAGCCATTAACCTATTTCCGGCTAATAGAAGGAAGACCAAACAGTAAGCCCCCTGCCCCAGCCCCAGCCACTGTGGTACTTACAGCCAATCATCATGATGGCCACTGCAAAGATCTTCTCGATGTCTGTGGACGGGGCGATGTTCCCAAAGCCCACACTGGTGAGGCTGGTCATGGTGAAATACAACGAGGAGATATAGACAGAATTCTTGCTGGGGCCACCTTCCCATTTCCCTGAGCCAGACCCATTAAACTGGTAAGGGGTGCCGATGTCCATCGCCAGTTGGTAGAGCCAGCTGTTGTTGCGGATGGTCTTGGTGTCCTCGTCGAAGATCTCATAGTCCCCGATGCTGTACCAGATGCAGGCCATCCAGTGCGCAGCCAGCCCGAACACACACACCAGCAGGACCAGCACAGCAGCGCCGTATTCAATGTAATGGTCCAGTTTACGGGCCACTCGCCCCAGGCGGAGCAGCCGGACGACTTTGAGAGAGCTGAACAGGCTGCTGATGCCCTGGGAGGAGAGGAGCACAGTCAGGGCCAGGAACCAAGGACACTACTCTTTCTCTTCTCCCTCCCCCCCGCCGGGGCTGTTCCTTCAGCATAGTGTATTTCCACAAGGTGCAATATTATGCAACCCTTAAAAATTGTCATGATATGGAAAAAATGCTCGTATATATTTGTGTACTTATTTACAATAAAATTAGGATTTTATTCCAAGGTGTATGGAAGGGAGATTTCCATTAGCTTTTTTCCTACTTCCATTAAAAAGCATATTAAAAAACAAAACAAATAAGCCAAATAACATTAGAATTTTAATCTAATTATATTATGCAGAAGTCCACAAATATATATGAGCATTTTTCCATGTCATGAGTTATTTTAGAACAATTTTAAGGGTTGTGTAATATTTCATATTAGGTAATATGAAATATTTTAAGAGTTGCATAGCATTTATTACACATTGTATAATGTTTCATTCTAACACAAGTATTTATGTGTTGAAAAATGGTCAGGAAACACACATGGGAGAAGTAAAACATTATCGGTGGTTATGGCTATGCTGTCAAGTTAGGGAATTACAGGCAATTTTTTGGTACACTTGCATATATTTTTGTTATACTTGCATATATTTACTTAATTTGTATGACTAAAATTTTTATTACTTTTATAATAGAAAAATATATTTAAAAACAAATTTCTTTAAAAATATAAAAATGAGTGAAAGAAACAGCTAAGAAGAACTGAGATTCTGTTTTCTCAGAAGAGTTACAAATTATTGGAAGGTGACATCACTTCTGTCAACCCAGACACCATGTACTTAAACACAATCCATCAAAGAATCTCAGCTAAAAAGAACCCTCTGATTTCACCTGGTAGCTTCCTCCTTTCTAGTTGGTGTCTGATGGTCCCACCAGGACAGCACTAGTCTCTGAACAGTTCTCTAGGGACTGTGGTAATAGAAAAAATACCGAGTAGAAATCTGAAAAACAGGGTCTGAGACCTACATAAGCCACTAACTTGCTATGTGAATTTGGACAATGCAGTTACCTCTCGGTTTCCTCCTCTAGACAATGAGAGGGGTGGACTAGAGGATCTCTAAATCTTCTCCAAACCCGAATCTACTCTTATCTCCAAAAGGAACTGAAATATATTACAGAAGCTACACCATTGAAAACCTCAAAACTGATTTCAAGGGAGGTTTCCATGAGCTTTTTCTACTTCTATTAAAATGCAAATCAGCAAACAAAATAAGAACATTTCTTTGAATCAAGACTTTGGTCTCCCTGACATGGCAAAAGTCCACCAGCAGGATGAGAGGCCCTTCGCCACGCAGAGTGGATGGCTTCTCGCTATTTCGAACACTGGACAAGTCCCAGGTCATCGCTGTTCTCTCTTGTCCCTTTCATGATAACCCCCAAAGCTCAGGTTATGTCATAGACAGAAAGGTTTTGTGCAAATGATTTCTGACAAAAATGATTTCGGAGTCTCAGCAGGNTCAGGTTATGTCATAGACAGAAAGGTTTTGTGCAAATGATTTCTGACAAAAATGATTTCGGAGTCACAGCAGTGGTGCGTTCTCTTTCTGGGCACAAAGCTAAACTGCATTTCCCAGGCTTTTTCCCTCTGGGTTGGACTCAGGACTAGTTCTCACCAACGGGGCGTGAGGTGGAGTGTGTGTCACTTCCAGGCCAAGGGAGCCACAAGTAAGTGTGCTGCCTGCTTTCTCTTCCCCCGCACGTCCTCCAGAGGAAGCTAGTATGACCTTGAGGCCTGAAAATGGTGAACGTACAGCACGGAAGGAGCCTGGGTCCCTAAAAGACGATGTGAAGCACCCTCTCCCAGCCAATTAACTTGAATCATATTGTTATGTGAATGAAAAAAGGAACCTCTGAAATCAGCCACTGGAACTTCGGGGGATATTTGTTACAGCAGCTGTATCATTAGCGTTCCCTGACTGTGAGCACAGAAACGATATGCGGCACAGCCTTGTGGAGAAAGAACAGAGCACCAGGCTGCCACACACATTATTTTTGTTGAGATGAAATACAATGTATTGCCCTTTAAAAAAAAACAAAGCACATAAAAACAGTTTTGTAGCCATAAAACTTACAGCAGAAAAAAAACCATTTCTTATCCAACATATACCAGCAAATGGATAATCACGGGTTTTTCTAAGCCAAGGGTCAATTCATCCAAACTGTCAATCTTGACAAAATTTACCTTTGGCATGTCCAGTACTCCTCCCTGGGCTCCCTTTTCCCTCCATGCAGAAACCTGCCACGCAGAAAAGACTGACAAAAATCCCTCATATTAAGCTACGAAAGACTGATGAGGGTAAACAGATAACTTCTCTCCACGGGGCATCTGCATTTTAAGAGGAAAACTAACTTCCAATAATGGAATTAAAAGCACCGACAGCCTGGATGAAGGAGATATTTTGGGAGGCAAGAGAGCCTTTTTGATGACTCAGAAATCAAACACATGTAAGCAGCCACCTACTCTCCACCTCCACATAAGGAGGTTCCTGAAATCATCTTTCAAAGCAGCTCCGCTCTGAAGCAGAGCTTACTACCCAGGGCAAACTGCCTTGTCATCTTTCCCTCTCTCATACTCAATTCAAAGCAACATTTACAGAGAACCCACTAGGTACTCCTGTGCCAATGCTACAGGGAAGACATGAGACTGATGATGCCTTGTCTTCCCGCATTCTACTTATCTTCAGTGCCCAGCCCGTGAAAGATGCCCGACAGAAAGCAGGGAGGGAGCAAATGCATAACGGCTGAGAGAGGCATGACAGGATTAGGGAAGATATTTCTACTAAGAATCACAGAACTTGAGAGCTGAGAGGGGACACAGAAGTCATCTAGGTCAGCTCCTCTGAGTCCAGCAAGGTCTCCTCGGGTGCCCTTAAGGGATGGTCATCCCACCTCCCCCTGAACTCTCCCCTTACTGCTACCTCGAAGAACCCCTCCTGTGGCAGTCTTTCACGGACATGAACGACTGGGCTCCCATCTCCTTTCTCACCTCCCCTCGGCTCCATCTGTACTTCATCCCTTCTCCATTCTCTCGCAATGGCCACAGCAACACATGCAACCACTAACCAAAGGCCAAGCTACCCTCCAGCCACACAAGCCAGTTGTCTCAAGCATCCCACACAGCAGATGCACACTGGCATCTCATCTTGCCCAGACCGGTCTCTCAGCCCAGAATGCACGGCTTCCCCATTTCTCGCAACTGGTAACTAGTTATCTGTCAGACCTTCTACTATGATACTAGTTGTCCTTCAGGTCTGCCACTACCTCCACCCTAAAGCCCTCCATGACGACCCTGTAGTCCCAACCACTCACTCCTCCAAATGTCCGTGGTAATCTGCATCCATCGCCACTTGAGCACATTGCTTTGCGTTATAGTTTCTTGTAATCATTTCCCCGTGTACATCAGGAACTACACCTTCCTGAAGACCAAAGCCACTTGGTAGTCATTTTAGAAACCTCCTATTGGGTCGAACAGTATCCCGCCAAATTCATGTCTTTTCCAGAACCTCAGAATGCGACCTTATTTGGAAACAGAGTTGTTGCAGGTATAGTTAGTTATGATGAGGTCACTCAGTGGGCCCTTAATCCAGTGTGGCTGCTGTTCTTATAAGAAGGGAATGAGGAAGACCCAGAGAGAGAGCCCCTGTGATTGACAACACAGAGACTGGAGTGATGAATCCAAGCCAGGGAATGCCAAGGATGATCGGCAACACCAGGAGCTAAGAGGCAGGCATGGTACAGATTCTCTCCAAGAGCCTTCAGAGAGAGCATGGCCATACCGACACCTTGATTTCGGAACACAGCCTCCAGAACTATGACAGAATACATTCCTGTGTACTAAGCCACCACTCTGTGGTAATGTGTCATGACAGCCCTAGGAAACTAATACACCTACACAGGGTCTAAAGCCAGCACCCTCTCAGAAAGGGTCTCAAACACTTTCTAAACTGCATTAAAGAGTTTGGATTATTATAGAAATTTTTTTCTCACTTTAAGGAGCCTTTGGAACAATACAAAACATGCACTTCCTCACTGTGTTATTTATCTGCGTGCACAATGATATTCTATTACACGGTCTTGCATAAGTTCTCTCTTATTGCACTAACAGCTGGAATTCCAGCTGTTTAAAAGCACTTCAAGCTATTAATTTGGGTTTCAAGCTAATTTGGGGTTTTTTCTTATTTGCCCGAAGTTCAGTATATGCAATAAATAAAACAGAATACTCCGAAGTGTTTTTATTTGTTTTAGTATAAAAAAACAATAGCACCATATGGTAGAGAATCACATTTTCCCAGGGACTTCTTGTATCAGAAAACCTATCTCACATTACAAATAATGCCAGCGAGTTTTCTGTTACAACCTTAAAATTATGAAGAACCAAGAAGTTCAAATGGAGCCCTGGCCGGTGCTACTCCGTCAGCTGAGCAGCATTCCATGCACCAGGAGTTTGCTGGTTCGATTCCGGGTCGAGGGCACTCGTCCATGTTACAGGCTCAGTCCCCAGCAGGGGGCGTGCAGGAGGCAGATGATGGATGTGCTTTCACATCAATGTTTCTCTCTCTCTCTCTTCTACCGCCCTCCCTCTCTAAAAATCAATAAATTACTCTTTGGAAACAAAAAAATGAAGTTCAAGTTGAGTCACCATAGATAAAGAGATGGTAAGAACCTGTGCTGGGCAGCTCATCACTGAAGGCCAACAACTATGGCTGGAAGGAAGCCTCCTGAATCTAAATAATCTCAGTTGTTGTGATACTGATGCAATTCAAATTGAAACGGACATATGGTAATTATCAGAATCATTTGTGAGAATTATTGACTGTTACCTATTCATCCAGACTAAATAAATCATTCCGTTAACGTGGGCTATATCTTGCCTTCTCAACTACCCAGATTCAACAATAATCTGCTCCTTTTTTTTCTCTGCCATAGGCATGGAAATGACACGTCACAGACTGATGACACTGTGTTAGTCAAA